TATGTATATATATATATGTATGTATATATATACTGTTTACAAATGTGACATTCATAATTGAGAGAATTGCCCGTTAGCAAAACATTCAGCCTACGAAATAATTTACTTTTTTCTATTTATAGATAGAATAATTTATAAGGAATAGAAATAATGCATTAAATATGTATATGAAATGCATTATATATTTCATAATAAAATAAATGATATTTTATTATTATAATGAAACCAGCTGCTTTATTATATATTGCCATCGTTGATTAATAGAAATCAATAATGATTTAAAGATGTACATATGCTTATTTAATTTCTTTTAAATTACAAAACAGTTCTAATTTAATCAGTAAAGTGTCTTATTTAATTGAAATTTAAACTTTTATAAAACTTTTTTGAAAATGCTGCAGTGAAAAGTAAACCTGAAATATGCAGCAAATTTTAAGCTAAATGCGAGCTAACAAACGAAATAAAAAAAAACAAACATTGTATCTAAATTTAGAAATATTTATGTTATCTTTTATTAATAAGTAAATGATGACCAGTTCAAAAAAAGGAAAAAAAAAAGCACATGAAAAGTAAATATGAAATAAAATGTTTATGATTTATTTAATCAAATAATTTGATAGTTAAGTAATAATTAAGTTATTTAATTAAACTCGTGATTTTGCATAAGAAAAATTTGATGTCTGAATATCAGATAATTTGTATTCTGCTAACCAAACTTTCAGATCTAGCTGAAATTACTAATTGTTAAATTTTTAGTGTTTTTATGTTTCTTAAAATTTACAGTTAGATTAAAGCAATTTTATTTGCTTATGACGTGGAAGGAAATTTTTTTTTTCTATAGTAAATTTAAATTTCCTTAAAAAAATTGTTTCCAACTTTTTTTAAAAAAATAATTCTTAAGTTATGTAATTTTAGCTCCGTTAATCCTTTGGTCTATGCTTAAAACATTGGTTTTTTAATTTTTTGTAATCAAATAACAATCAACATTATTGAAAAAATTTGCTCCTTTTCTTCTTTTTTTTTTAATTTACAGTGCTACTAGCTCAGAGATGCCAACTTGCTGTTGACAGCGGATAAATATTTTCGTGTGGAAGTCTTTTAATGTATGATTCTTGGTTTTAGTAAATTTATAAATAAGTTTTTTACTCAACACTACTTCTAAAAACTTCGTGATACACCATTTTTTTTACAGTTGAGCCTTAAAAAAATTGGCCAAATTGACCAAAAATCTACAAAATTTAGTTCGTTAGTTCTCTACAGTTTTTTAAATTTTTCATCTAATCTGAAGCAGTTGGCATCTCTGCATGTTACGTATTTATATAAAAAGAAGCTAAAACTTTGTGTGTTTTCAGCGGAACTACAAGCGTTGGGTCAAGCTGCTATGGATTTGGATAATATTGCTGGTGGTAGAAAGCTGAGAGGAAATAACATGTATGATGATGTTCCCATGCCTGACCATAACATTGACTCTTTCAATCCTGATAATCTTCACGGCCCCAACAATTTCCAAAGTGCTATTAACTTCCCAGGAATGGGACATAACTTCAAGCAACCACCACCCAAAGTATGTCATCACCACCCTTCAAAATATATGCTATGCTTCAAAAATTTTTTTTTATTCAATTTTATTTTTGTTTTTTGACACTGTGAAGAAATACCCGGGGAAGTAATGCTTAAATTTTTTTTGTGTGTTTTTAAGCATTCAAATAGTAATAGTGAAACAAAACAAATATTTAAAATATAAAATAAATGAGTTAAAAAATAAATGAAATACACATTCAGATTGTAAAAGCCATTTTATGAGTTTTGGCAGTACAAATGCATTAAGACGTAAGTTCCAAAATTTTTCTGTTTCACTGCTCACTTCGAAACATGAGCATTTTTAAACGCTCCTTAGCACAGGAATCAAACATCACTGTCAGTAATCAGTGAGTTGGTTATAACTATCATTTTAAATACAGTACACTCCCGATTATCCGTGCTCTTTCCAGAGTCACATAAAAAAATTTATTTAATGAGAAACATTTAAAAAAAATTTTGATTCATGAAGTTATAACACTAACAAATTTTTAGAAGCAATATTTGTTATTGGATTGCAGTATATGGAAAATCAGCTGCATGGCCAAAGGTAAAATCATCGACGTTATTATGATCGTGGAGAAAGATCATACAGCTTGATGAACAATCTTCCTTAGATATTCAAGAAGAATATGATAACAGTAGTTTTGAACAAGCAAAAGAAATCTAAGGTTTCGAAATTCTTGACGAAGAAAATTTAGAAGATTAGTTTCAAAGTGTGTGCCTGTCTTCCACTATTTGACAGAAGATGACATCATTGCTAATTAAATCAAACAGTGATGATAGTAACTGATGCAGGAAATGTAGTAAATGAGTGAAATACAATTTCTCATTCTGCTGCTCTGTGGAAACTTAATTAGGTTATATGGGAGAATTTGATTACGGTGACATTACTGTGTCAATATATGGCAAAGTCGCATTAAAATTTTTTTAAGCAGCAAATGTTAAAAGGAAAATTCCTAGTTTACAACATGCAAATATCAGTAATTTTTATATTTTTTGTACTGGTATTGATTTTTTCTTTAATAAAGAGGAGTTTTCGGATTAACCGTGTTTTTCGATTGTCCGTGCGACCTGTCCCGGTGATTAACCCGGATAATCGGGAGTGCACTGTATTGGAATTATTTTTCTCTTTGCACTGTAATGTACTCTTCTTCAGATGCAAGTTGCCTGGCTACCAAAGCCTATTCCCTCTGCAAGTTGTTATGGCATGTCTTTGAATCATCCTGTGGGATGTTTTCCAGACTGTTGCATATAGTCTATTAGGAGCTGTGGGGGCTCAGGGGATAGAACTTTCCCCTCCCGATGAGGTGAAAGGTTTCGAATCTCACACCGACCACTGTGCTGTCGCCAAATATCCTCAGTGGAAGACGGATCGGGGTTAGAAGTTTCTTTGCCGTTAGGCGTGTGGGAGGTTTTCGTGATTTTCCTCGGCATGCCCTGCAAATGTGGACTAGTTTTATTAAAAAGTCTTCCATGATGGCAAAGTCTCCCCAAAACTTGATTCAAGAGTTCCCTTGTCTTTTGGGCAGGGTTCGAAATTACAAAGCTGCTGAGTTGAACATTGGTAGTAGTAAATCCAAAACTTTGGTCGGCTATTCAACGATGATTATAAAACTAAATAACCCATTAGAAACCTCTGGTAAGACGTAATTAAAGTACTACTTATGCATCCCATTAATATATATATATATATAAGCACTTTCCGTTTTTCCTGGGTATTTCAATTTACTGTATCTATCATCCCCGCATCTATTGTCTTGTTTTAATGAACCATCACAAATTATCAATTTTAAAACTAGCGAATTCCTGCCGTAATCATTCAAAAATTCTGCCGACATTTAAAAAAAACAAAGAGTTTTTTTTCGTTTTGAGAAGGAAAATGGTAACACCTAATGCTAATGGTCAAAATTAGGATTTATTCTAGTTTGGCTGAAACAATGTAATTTAATAAAATCTGCAATTTAATTTTTTAAAGCTCTAAACGTAACATATTTTAATTGATAACTTTAACAAAAACTATTTAAGACTGCTTGCTGTTTGAAGATTTTAATCTGAATACGATTTTTAGTTAACATTTAGTGTCAAATTAGTAAATCATATCAAAGATAACAGAAATAAAATATTTTTAGATTAATTAGAAAAGTTTTGCCTTTATGTTGACATTTTTATTATATCATATATATGGCAATTTTAGAGCTCCTACCTTTGCATTGTGTACTTTTGCAAAAATTAAATAACTTTCAAAGCAACAATTGAGGCAGCATCTTAATGTTATATTGTATGTAATTTATAGGGTCCCAACAATAACCTAATAAATTCTGCCTTGAATGGGCAGCAATTGCAATCTGGTAATATATCTCCTGCTATACTCCAAAAACTTCTTCAGCAACAGCAGCAGCAGCAACAATCTCTTCAAATGCTAAACTTAGTAAGTAGATTGCACGGATTACATTTTATGAGTGTTAAAAATTGTCTCAGAGAATGCTTAAACTTAGTAATGTTCAGTCGTAAGCAGCTTCTGACACTTCTTGTAGTTAATTTTTTTTAACTGAACGAACCAAAATCTAAGAACTCAGAAGTCTATTTAAAGAATTAATTTACTGGTCCTTCACAAATTAATTCATCATAAAAGCAGCCTCTTCATTTCCTTTGAGATACTAAATCCATGACTACACTCATAATTTAACAATATCAACTTTTTTAAAGATGTTATTTCACAAGAACAGGATCTTATAAGAAAAAACTGATTGTAAGATAATTTTTTGTTCAAGCAATTATGACCAGATTTTTCTAAAAAATGTGCACCTATTTAATCTAATTTACAAGACTATGAGGACATAACACAATAAGCTCATCATAAGGCTTGTTAGTTTAAAATGCAATATAAGATTATTTTATTAAATTATTTAGTTTGAAACTTGCATTAAGTAATTTAATGAGATACAATTATTTATCATTAGTATTATTTTTTGTTTATTCTTACCCATTAAAAATTTCATTTTACCTTTTAAATAACAAAATTATTTTAATGATAAGAAAGCCTTTGCCTCCCGTTTTAAAAAAATAAATAATGTTCTTAATTAAATTTAAATAGCATGTTCTGGTACATTTTTTAACCGACTTTCAATACAGAAAATATTTAACTGTGACCTTTTCTTTCTTTTTTAGAATAACATTCAGGGATTTGGCAATTCCAAATTCAACAATAATGCTCAACTTCGACATTTGTGCCAGCAGATACAAATGGCTGTTTCTGCTGGTCATTTGAATGCTCAGGTAATTGAAGTACGTTTCTTTTTCTGGCTATCTTTCTACCTTTCTTTCAATTTTGGAGCACAGGGCAGGTATGGTATAGAGAAGGACCCACCTTTTGGTCATATCAGGACTTGACAATTCTTCTTGAAATATTCCTTTTACTTTGTTTAAATTAATATCTTGGTATTGTTCAGGTATACTCTGTTCAGAAATATAAATTACCCAACCTTGGGTTGAGCAACTAGCCCTGTTTTTCAAGGCTCTGTATTTTAACTCCATTTTAGGAATATCATATAATTTTGATCTGATCGTACAAGACGGACCGTACACACTCTACTCCCCACAAACTCTGGGACTCTCTAATTTCCTGCAATCAAAATGAGAACTTGAAGCCATGCCATATTCAATGTGTATCTTACGTGCTAGCTGTTCAGTTGCCTACCAGAATCAAACTCAGAGCCCTAGCTCTCCTCTAGCTGTTGGAGTGGTGTCTTAACAGACTATGTCCAATTTAGAAACAAAAAATTGAGGGCTTAGAGTTGATATAAAATTTTCTTTTTTCCATGTTACTCTGTTAAATATGGTTGATTTGCTTCATCTTGTTTTTTGGGAGGTTTTCCTATTATATATTTGAATTGTCCTACATGCAAGAGGTGTGGTTTGAATCATAAAATCCTTTTTATCAAAATACTTCTGCTTCGGAATGTCACATTATTATCTGTTGCAATATCAAATTGCACAATTAGCACATTGATTACATTTCAGCAACGTTTTGTGATTAAATGGTTATAAATTGGAATTCTGTTATAATTGGTAGAGGTATTTTTGACAGAAGATTTACAGTTTTTTGTATTATGTCTGATACTAGTTGCATTTTCAGTAAATAGAAGACCAATATCATGTAAACTATATAAATAAAAAAAAAGTGTTGAAATCCTTACAGGAAAAAATTAATTTTAGTGGTCGTTGAAATATAACAAAATACAACTTACCATCAACCTAGTTGAACAAGATTGAAATGCATCAAATATCAATTCATCATCATCTATAATAATCTTATTTTCCTTTACGTTTTTCAATCTGTTTATTCTAAATGGGTCCTGATTAAATATATAAGTGACTCTTTTGGTCCTCTCAGATTGGTTTCATTTAAAGAAATTTCAAAATTGTTGATTCAGCTTTATTTATGCACACATTCATTTGCTGCTGCTCAGTGCTCTATAATTCAACTAATTTTCATCTTATTTGCTTTTTTAACTCTTTTTTTTTTCCTGACTTTAAATTAGTTGTTAACATTTAACTTTTTTCATTTTAAATATTTGTCTCTCTTTGTTGTATATTTTTGAAATTTAAATTATATTAAATAAGTGTGTTCATGTAATTTCATAAATTATTTTTTTGTTACAACTGTTTTTGGGAATTTTTTATGTCATAAAATGTCTATTTGTTTCTTAATTGATCTAATGTAATTTAGAGTGGCTGCTAAACTAAATCTGCACTCAAAATACAGATGTGATATTTTGTAACTACAATATCTCATCTCTTATTTTTTTTAATTGCTTCATTATAAATATAAAGCTGATAAAATTTATGTATTCATAGCTGTCAACTCTACTGGTTTTACCAGTAGACTACTGTATTTTGCCAGTTTCTCTTGGTCTACTGGTTTTAGAAAATTACCTAAAATAGAGTAGTTTTCCAAAAAAAGAAAAAATCCCTATTGAAATAGAATTGTTTGCTTTAATACGAAATAAGTATTGCTAATACATAATCAAGTGAGCCTCATTTTTAGTAATCAGTTAGAAACTTTTTTGTTCTAAAAATGTCAGTTTATTTTTAATCAGAACTCCTTTTTTAAAATAGTTATAGGAAATTTTAACTATCAATAATAAATTACTTGTTTTACTATTAATAATTAACATAATGAAAAAAAAACATTTCAAATTCATTTAATGTTGATCAAAAGCGAAAAATATTGATGACCATTTGAAAATGATTAAGTTTTTGTATTTTGATGTTAACAAAAATTCCTAAAATTCTCTATACGTAAAATATACAGTTATCATTAAATATATGCAGTTATCATAAAATAATAAAATATATACAGTTATAATAAATAAATTTTTCATAGATTCGATTGGATTTTTTCCTATCTACATTGTTGGCTATGTATATTCAATTGTGAGCTTATTAATTTTAGAATATTTTTCTTAAATTATCGATGTTTGTAGATAATAAGTTACAGATATTTCTATTTTTCGGATATCTGAGCCACTTCCTGAATAATATAGAGCATGCCTGCAATTTTTTTTTAACTGGTCTTTATCAAAGTTGCCACAGCTCTCTGGTCTTTAATTTCAACACAGGAATAGTTATAATTGTGTATTTAAACTCTTACAGATACTTAATCAACCATTGTCTCCACAAACACTGCAACTCCTTTATCAGTTATTGCAGCAAATCAAAGCCCTTGCAGGATTACAAAATCAGCTTCTTCAAGCAACCTCTCATGGCTCAAAACAGGGTAACAACAATGCAGCAGTTCTTCAAATAAATGTTCACATTGCTCAAACTAAATCTAGAATTGCCACCCTTCAAAATCAAATATGTGTTCATCAAGCACAATTCATGAAACAACAGGTAAGTTGCTTACAAAACAGTTTTTATTTAAAGGATAAATTTTTTTTCCAAAATTACTGAATATATATTTTTATTTATAAAAAATTTCACTTGTCCAAGCTCTTATTAAATGCATCACAATTTTTTCTTACTTCTATTTTGTAAGTGAAATTTCCCTAATTTAAAAAATTAATAGTTCTAACAAGTTAAGTTAATAAATACCTTAGTATAACTAAAATCATAGATGATTATTAATTTCAATACTATAATGTAAACATATTTTAAGAATATAAAAATCATTCAATACTTGGAGTTAAGCATTTAGCTATTAACGAAAATAAGTATTTCATTTAAAAAAATTTTAAAATAAGTTAAGTATAAAAATTAACTTTGACTTTTTTTCTTTTCTTTAATATTCCAGTTTATCCTTAGAAACACTTTTTTTTTTTAAAGCACCAACAAAGGTATTATAGATAAAAACAATACTGCAGTTCTTAAATTCAAATATTCAGTATTTTTTAAATGATTATTCAAAAATAATATGCTTCTAGTAAAATTTTGTAATTTATTTTTAAAAAAAATCTTTCATTATAGATTTTTAATATGCTGCTACAAGGTAGTTAATACTAGTTTTATAAAAGTACATTTCATAAATGTACAATTATATTTATCTAGAGTTCAATTTTTCAGCAATAATTTTTGAAATTATTATTTATAATTAAGATCTGTCTTTAATATTTAGTAGAAGTATGATTTAGAGGAAAAATAGCGTTATTGACAGACGCTCAATAAATGTTTAAAAGAACTTTTTAAAATTTTTCAAGCATTTAATCTGATGAAATAGTAATTAATCAATGTTCTTACCTTTAAGCAAGATGCAATATATATATATAATAAAAAAATAAAAATAATTAACAAAGACAAACTATCATTTTGATACTGTGAGAAACATCATTATTCATCTCACACTAAACAAAATGATTGTTTGATCTTTGCTTACAGCATTGCTCGTGCTTTTATTTCTGTTTTATTGCAATGTGCTCAGAGGATGCCTCTTCATTCTTCGGACAAATAATAGCTTTTGCCTGTAATCCCACTTTTAGGTTAAGATGAATCAGAAACCATTAAGTTTACATGATATGTTTTTCTCATCATTGCATACACAAATTCCATTGATCTCTTCCTATAGCTTGCTCAACAGCAGCCAAATCTCACCCCTCACCACGGCACTCAATCCTCCATGGACATTTTCAAACCGAATGTCGATCCCATGTCCGGATTACAGGCTGACTTTCGGGATATTTCAATCAAAGACATGTCACACCAAAATCACCAATCCAGACTCAATCAGTGGAAACTCTCCTCCCTGGAAAAAGACGAAAATCAAATGATAGATCCCCTCGGAAACTCCGGGGATTTCAGCCGGGCTCCCGGGCCCATCACCTCTAAGCAAGGAACCAACTCTGGCTCGTTGATGCATCCACTTCTAGAACAGCCAGACAACACTTGGTCCGGACTGGGAGGTCGTGGTGAGTCCAGCTGGCCAGATCCCGCCTCGTCGTCCGACAGCACGAACGTCCCTAACTCCACTTCCCTGTCTACATTAGGCTCTGGACAAACTGCTGAAAACAAAGACGGTTCTCACTCAGCGACTGTTTCCACATCCACCACCAATTCTTCCACGTACAACCTTACTGACTTGGTTCCAGAGTTTGAACCTGGGAAGCCCTGGAAGGGTACTCAGCTGAAGAATATTGAAGATGACCCACATATTACTCCTGGCAGCATTGCAAGATCCCCTCTATCCGTCAACAACATCAAAGAATCCAATTTGTTTTGGCCTCCTAAATCTAGTCCAGCCAATAGTGACGGTGTGGGGAATTTACCTACTAACACATGGATGTACAGTGCTCCTCCAGTTGGCACTCCTAATAGGTAAGTCTCTTTTTTTTTTAGCTCAATGGGTGGAAAATTTAGAGGAAAAAAAATGGTTATTAGTTGCATGCAGATTTGTATGAAAGTGCGGGGGCAATTCCTCGTTTGTACTTCATTCTTTGGAAACAAGTTTTTTTAAAAAAATATGTCACTTGGTTCATACCTTATATTAGTTACCTTTTTGTAATTAGTTCTTACTTTCTATAATGATAAAGAATGAAAACAGTTTAAGATTTAATTTAATATTGTATAAGTTCAATATTTAACCGTACTTAGTTTATTAAAAAAATTGCATTCTAACTCAAGCATGTCACAGAATTATTTTTTTTTATTAAAAACAGAACAGAATTATTTTTTTATTATGTTCTGTTATTGATCCAAATTAAGTTCTTTCTCGCTTTACACCTTAGAATTGTATTTCTGTTGCACTATAAATTAAAAATGAGTCTGAGATCTTAAAACTCATCAATTAAATGTCCCCCCCCATTTATTGGAAGTCTATTAATCTAACTAAAGAACTCTTGTCTAAAGCACTGTCCGTGACTATGGTTATCAGGTTGATCTTTTTTTAGAAGAGGTGTTGAGTAAACATATAGAACAGCTTTTGACTCTAGTCTTTAAGAGCAGTATTATAAACTTATTTAATACGCTTTGTCTTGATTCTATGGTGTGTAGAGTTCTTTGAATAGGTAGACAGTAAGAAATGTGTAAACCAGGGTTGGCAAGATTTTGCCGCAGGTGGAAAAAACCATGGTAAATACCGGTAAAAACCGTCCTGGCAAAAACAGGTTTTTGCCAAGCAAAGTGGCAAAAAGTGGCAAAAACCTATATTTTCCAAGATGAGAGGACAAAAACACATTTTTGGTACAAAATTATTCCTAAAATTGAAATATATACTATGAATATAAATAATTACAGAAAAATTAACAAAATTATTATTAAATCATAATTAAATGATAATGTAATAATATATCATTTTAGTAGTTTAAAACATTATTGATTGGAAAATTTGTGATTATTCTCTTTTTTCCAGTGAAATGAACTTATTTTAAATTAATATAACTATAATTTAAAGCATAAAATATCTATCAACATGTGTAGTTAATTATTGTACAAATAATAATTTTTTATAATAAATAATAATATTATACAAATAATAATATTTATTTATTTGTAAAAAAACATTTATTTTAGGATTCTAAAATGAAAAGAGATCAAAAACTTTCAATCTTTTAAAAATTATTACCTTTATATTAATTATTAATATGTTAAAAATAATTTTTTCATGTAATGTATCAAAATTATTATTCCTTATGATTGATTTAAATTTGTTTCAAGTATTTTGTAATAATATTTAATCAGCAATTTAGATAATTTGGTTTTTGCCGGTTTTTACCAGTTTTTGCCGGTTTTGACCAGGTTTTTGCCACTGTCCTGGCAAAAAAACCTTTTTGCCGGCAAAAACTCCAACCCTGGTGTAAACAGTTGATTACATAAGTGTAATTAACTGAAATAATGTTTTTATGATTTTAGCTCAAGTGCAAATTTGAAACCTGGAAATGGTAAGTCGAGCTGGAGCTCTGAAATTGGAACAACTAATGACTTATGGGGATCAATGCCAAATAAAAATTCTCGTAATTCTGCTCCACAAGGGATATCCAATCCAGGTACATGTCATCACATTTTTAATTAATTTTCTAAATTACAACTACTGTATTTCCTGGTGTATGAGTCCCTTAAAACCCCCAAAATTTTACAAAAAATCAGGGGATTTAATTTTTATACTATGTTAAGAAAATTGGATATTCAATGATCGGGAAATATAGATGCATTATAAATGATGAGAGTGTCATTTTACTCCTTTCAAAAACTATTTTTAATATCTTATATACCATGGACGTGAGGGGGAGGAACCCTTTCATATTAAGTTGAAGACAACTATGACAACAATAAACTTNATTTCAATCTCATCATAGAGTGGGAACCATGAAATAGTAATGAGAAAAAAAGTAATAAAAGTAAATCGTTCGTCAGCTTTGCTCTGCAAAGTAAGTTAATGATTTATTTCCGTTTATCTCGGAGAGATTGTTGCCATTTAATTTTGCAAGTACTATTTATGGCAGTGGTTCAGTGTTAAAGTAAAATTGAATTTTTATCAATAAATAGGAGGTATTCTTTAAGTGAAGAGTAAATATTAAAGCATATGATTTTAACAATTAATAAATTTTGTTTTCGAACTCAATAGTAAAAGTCAACTTTAGAAATAAATGAAATTTTGTGAGTTTCTTTTTTATTTATCATTTGTTTACTTTTTAATCTTCCAACTATGTTTAAAGTACTTTAAATTATTAAATATATTTATTTAATTTATGATATTTTTATTATATAGACAATTTAGTTATGCATGTTTAATTCATATCAGGGATGTAACAAATATTTCTCATTATTCTGCCCTTTTGCCTAATAATCGGCAAAGTATCATTTGTAAAATTATTTTTCAAAAAATTTTTTTTGTGTGTTGAGGGAAATATTAATAGATTTAATATAAAAAAGTTTGAAATTATGTTTTTTCTATGCATTATTAGAAAATGTTTTTACACACGCTTTTTAAGCTCTAAAACTTGAAAACTTTTTAAGCTCTAAACTAAACCATAAGTTTTGCAATGCTGATTTTAAGTTATATTGAGGCAAATTAATTTCATCGTTTCCCCCAAATTTTAGATTTTAAAAATTCAGAACTTTTTTTAAAGTTTCATTTTTGCTTGTTTTTCTGTTTCAACTAAGCGAAACTAACAGATCTTTTCTAATAGGTTTAATTACTCATTGCCACTTTTTTTTGTTTGGTACGACAAATAACTAGTAACATAGCAGTGTTTTCATCATAGAAAAAAAAAGTGTGAGAATTTCTCACCCTTTCTCAAAAACAGGGTGAGATTTCAAAAAGTTAAGTGAGATTTCTAAAAACTAAAAAAACACAAAAACTCATGAAAAAAAAATCATTTCTTTAATTATAATACATTTTTAACATCTTCTATTTTTTAAAGTATTGAATATTTTTGGTGCATCATCATAGATTTTGCCTTTACAAGGTATTTGTCCATCTTACATAAGTGCATAAAAAATTTGAACGTCTTACATGAAGAAACCTTACCTACCGTAAACACGTGGTTGCAGAGAAATGTGTTGTAGGTAATGTGATGAAAGGGGTTGTGTTCTGTTGTTCGAAAAGGTTCTAATACTGGAAAATAGGGAAGCTAGATAATGGGGCAGATGTTGTAGATAATGAAAGATCCAGGAAGGGAAGTGAAAAGAATTTTATTCTAAATGGCGTAATTCGAAGCTTTTTCCAAAATGCTAGAAATTCGTGAATTTTGAAAACGATTTATAGAATGCCCGAATTTCTCGCGGTAATCATTTCTTGATGCGAGAAAAGAAAAATATCTACGAGATTCTCGCGCTGTAGTGAAAACACTGCATAGAAAACTGTAATTACCGTCGTGGAAGTTATATTTCAAAACTGAGAACAATTTTTTTTATTTATTGACTTTTCCTTTCGTCAGCGTTTTTATTATGACCGCTTTTTTTGAAAGACCGTTTCTAATGAACATTTTTCTTTTATGATAAATTTTTTTCTAAAAAAGTGGCAATGTGAAGTTGTTAAATTAAGATTTTTAGCATTAAATCTTTTGTTAAAAAATTAAGATTGTATTTTGTTTTGGTTTCTATCCTGCTTTTGCAAAAAAAAGAAGTATGTTTTTTATTTATAATTTTCATGTGACTCGGCAAATAAGAGAATTTCTATTAAACTTCATTTTTCCACTCTTAACTTTTTCTTGAAAATACGGTAATTGGAGAACTAAAACGTTTAGCTTTAAAATTTTCTTTTAAAAATTAAGATCGTTTTTTATTTTTTCTGTTTTGCTTTTGTATATTATCTTCATTTTTATAAGCATTTTTTGATAGCATTGCATTTTTAAAAGCATTTCTAAACTAATTTCTATATAAAAAATAATATGTATTAACAATTAAAAAAATATTGCATTCGGCTGAATTTTTTTTTGGCCGAATATTTGGCGAAATCTCTGTTACATCCCTAATTCATATTAGTTTTTTCAACTAGAGTCTAACTACAACCTGAATTTTTACGATTGCAGACTTAAATGTTTGCAGGCCCTTAACCTAATACTTCCTATACTATTTATTTTGCATTTTCACTCATCATATAAAGATTTTTTTAAAACAGTACTTTAAATTACTTTCAGAAAAGTTAAGATAATTTATTCAAGATCATTTAAAAACGTATAGCACAGTAAAAACTTTTTATACCTTAAAAAGCAATAAGTATAGGTTAAAGCTTCAAACTTGTAGATTCTGAAACATCTGTCGGATTCAGTAACATTAGCAGTTTCGTTATACAGGACGAGCCCTACTCTGTGACCCGAAACCCATAGTTATAACTAACAAGAATGCGTTCCTAAAACCAAGTGGGAGTACATGCGAATAATCAATGATCGAGTAAATAAAATAAGTGATTCTGCAAATCAGCAATTCAGCCAAATGAAGTATCATCATATTAAAACATTGTTATTTTAAAAACTATGCAAAAATACATTTTGGTAACTAATGGAAAAACAATCGAAAACCCTGCGGATTCATCGTAAAGTCATCCCTAATCGAGTGGAGTCGAGAAATGCACGGTTCAGAATTTGCAATAAATTATAATGGCACAATAAAATATTTTGTTTTTAGAAGGAAATCTGTAACAATAGCTGCCAAAATAGTGATTGGCAAACCAAGTGGATCTTCGTTGATTGAGTGTAGCTAAAAAGTAAGAATGCAAATGTGTGATTCGACTCACTATAAAGTTGTATGGACACATTGAGATCTTCAACATTTTGTGGAAATAAGTGCTAAAAACGCTATTGTCAAAAATAATGGTTAAAATGTAGAATATATCAGAAAGTGAATGAAAATTGACTCAATTCGTTACCATGCTTTAAGTTTTAGGGTACAATTAAGTAAAATTTCTCAAAAAATGAATTAATCATAACAAAATTTTTAATAGATTAATTTATGTTATCTGCATCATTGACTCGCAGTGTTGATGAGCATATAACATAAAAACCATTAAAATAAAATTTTTAAATTTCTGACTTTAAAAAAAAATATTTTTTTTACTGTGTTCATGACTGTTTTTTCATCAGTCCTAAGTTCCGTATCCGTTTACAGCGTGCATAGTGTTTTTATAAAGTGCTTAATTTTGATTTGCGTTTTTTAAAAGCCCTTAAAGGAACTTTTTTTATTCAGGATTTGTTAAAAGTGCTTAATTTTATATATTTTAAATACAGATTTTTCTTTGCTGTGTCAATGTCATTTGAAATTACAAAAAATGCATGATTTTGGCAATTTTCTCTGCAATATTTATCTGAAGTTAGTTCTATCATGATTATGTAAAGTTTTTGAATTTTATTGATTTTATGTTCATAAATTAAGAGCTTTAAACGATGGAAAAAAACTTTTTTATTATCGCACAGATCCTAATTATTATTATTATTTTTTTTATGGAAAGTGATTAAAAATATTTTTTGAGTGCTTAAAAAATGCTTAAAAGGTTTTTATTTTTTGTTGAAAATTTGACTACGCCTGTTTATAATAATTCAATCCTTATTTTAAAATTTCTTGTGGTTCCTTTTTCAATGTTTTATTGTAGTGATTGCGTCATTATTACTGAAAATAACTACACATTTCCTTTACAGGTTGGGAACGCCAGTATAACTCAACATTTTTGCTATTGAGAAATTTGACTCCTCAGGTAAAATACTTTACACGCAGTTATTATTTTACTGTTTGAACAAACGATAGTTATTTTTTGCTTATTTGTAATGTTCTGCGAGCTTTATTCAGAGGAATTTCTGTGCGTAAAATAAACATTCCTAACAATAATTTTATCTTGGCTCCATTTGGGTTCAAAATTGGCTCACTCTAGGTCCTATTAGAACTTGCACAGAGGGACCAGTATTGGGATCTCCAGATTTTTAAAGATGGGTCCTAGAAGGGCTTTTAACAGGGGACAATAAAAATTGTGTATAGGGTTAATATAGGTTGAAAAAGGTTGTAAAATATCGGGTGAAGCGGACCATCCTACTTATTACCTTAGTTATTATATATTATTTTATAGTTATTAGATTAGGATAGGGATATTATCCTAAGTTATTAACCGTATTGGGCCGATATGGGTTGAATAACTGATTTAAAATGTTAGGTTAGGTTTTGAAGGGCAGTCATTCTGCTTGCCCTTCGATCCTATTAAATATGCCCCCTTTGTAAAAATAGCCACCATCCCTGAAAAACACTGGCTTTTTACTCATATTCCATTTTGAAAAAATTCATTGTTTCAATTATAATGACGCACTGGTAAAATTATTTGTGTTTAGGTTTAATTCCGTTTACTATTACAAATATTTATTTTGTTAGGAATATTCTTAACTGGTTAAACTGTATAAATATCTTCTTACGGGGTATATTAATAAATTTTTGGGTGATTATAAATTTTAAAACTATTCTTTAAGCAAATAACTTTTTTTTTTAAATGCACTTTTAAATGTTCATTTTCTCGTAATTTTCAGTTTAAATTATTGAAAAAGTGTCCAAGTTGTTAATCAATTTATTTATTTTTGTAAGTTTACTTTTTTTGAAGAAAAAAAATTTGCACAGAGATTGCCTTTTAGCATGCATTTAATTATTTTAAACACTACAAATTTTTCTCTTATTTTGATAATGAGGGAGAATAACTTTTTGAACTATATATGTTAAGTAGTATAAGAGGATAATTTAAAAATTTTTGTGTATAAAATTAAGTTATTTCATAATATTGTAAGTTTTTACGGTGTTATGTGAGTGCCCTTTCAAAACTAAAAGTGGCTTTTTTTTATAGAAGAAGCACCCTGCCCTTTTTCATTCCTAGGGAGAACTCTTTTTAATCTAACAATTCTGTGTAGGGTCAATATCGAAAAAATATCGGCCTTTTTGAGTCAACATTACAAAATATTGGTTCAATGAGGACCCGAGTTATTTTGCTGCTATGGATATTTTTTTGTTGCTTTTATTAAATAAAGGTGCTCTAGTTGCTTAATGTTAAAAATTGATATTTTTGTGGGATGTTATAATTGTATATATTTTTTTTCCTCCCAGATTGATGGCTCTACCTTAAAAACTCTCTGCATGCAGCATGGTCCATTGCAGATGTTTCATTTGTTCTTGAACCGTGGAGTCGCTCTCGTTCGCTATTCATCTAGAGAAGAAGCAACCAAAGCTCAGTCTGCTCTCAACAACTGCGTCCTCGGCAACACTACCATGCTTGCCGATATTCCGAATGAATCCGAAATACAACAGTACCTCCAAGTGGCTTCTGGTCAAAGTAGCGGTGGTGGCGCTGGAGGCAATTCATGGCCACCCTCTCAGAGTAACAGTGGATCATCTAGTTATCAGAGCAGCGGTGGCAGCTCCAACACTTATTACGGCAATTCCAACAACGGAAGCAGTGGCGGCAATTGGAATTCGAATGCCCCAACCTCTCAACTCTGGTCATTTTCTAACTCGAGCCTCTGGGGATCATCTCAGTCGAGCAACGATCACGATGCAAGTACAAATCCTATTAACTCCTATCTGCCGAACGACTTGTTAGGTGGCGAGCCCATGTAAATGCTCATTCACAGCTGAAAAGACTCTTCAGGGAGTAGAATGTGAATCGGACAACTGTGGGCTCTCGTACCTGCAGTCTTTTGTTTAATGTGATATGAACTTTTAAGTGTTGCACTGGCCATGTTAACTTCTTCCAGTATGTGTAATTGTCAACATGAACTTATGATTGCATATGCTAGAGTGTGATATTTTCTCCCTTGGCTTATGCAACACTGTATTACTTCTTTTTCTTTTAGTTTTTCTCTTTTTTTTTCTTGATCATTGAAAACTGCCTAAAAACGAGCAATTCAATGCTCCCTTTACAATCATAGAATAATACTGACGAGAGAGCAAATCAAATGATTATTAAAGTATTGAAAAACTGTCTCCAGTTTTTTAAGTGCCACAGGAGAAAAGCCTTAAGTAAATTCTGCCATATCAGTTGGTTTTGGTGGATTATCGAAATATATTTAAGATGAGGATTTGTGACGCGGGGCCGGCCATTCAAACAAGAACGTTTTCCGAGTATGGCCAGCTCCGAATAATTGATTCCGCCACTTTTAAGATTTGGACTGGAATATTGTATGATATATTTAATTTTTTTTTTTGTTTCCATTGAGAAAAAAAAAGTTTATTTGAGATTTATGTATCTTGTCAATTTGTTGCTGTATTTAAATGTTAATTTGTGCTATTTTATTCAGTAGAGAGCCTGATTTCTTTTTTTTGTTATTAAAGAAAAGGGTGTATACTATTATAATATATTATATTAATATTTTGAGAAATGGTGTAAAAATGAGTTAAGTTTGTGGTGTTTCTCTTATGTATTGTGTTTGGTAAGTCTTTCTGAAAAAATTGATTGCATTTTTAACTTGTCGAAGTACATATTTGTTGATTTTAGCTCCTAATTTTTTCTTCTTTTTATAATGGGAGGGCGTCGTTTTCCAACTCTCGAGCCAAAATGTTTTTTTCTTTCTCTTTTATTTTTTACCTCCGGTTAATCAAAATCAAATGTGCTTTTTTAATCCCCCATGTTCCATTGAATGCACTTAAGAGTTGGAAGCGTCCTTCACAGTTGAATGTGTGCAAAAATAAAAATCATTTTGTGTGTATATATATCTTAGTGAGAGAATCCACTTGAAAAAAAAAATGTGTGATAATTAATAGTACATGTATCTGTTTTACTGAAAATAACAAAGTAAATATAAATATCAAATAGAGTTTTTTGGGAAAGGTGCTTTTTCCCAACGAGTCAACAGAAAAATGTGATCAGTGATATTTAAAAAGAATTTAAATCTAAAGTGCATATGATGTAGTTGTATACTTGGTGCTAATGCTGGTAAACGACGTTTCGCCTATAGAGTGCAACACCAAACAATGGCCTTTTTCGTAAGAAAAAAAAACTCCTTTTTCTGCACTCTTGTGGCAATCGTCATTTACCGCCCCATCAGCACTTTATAGTTTGCCAAAGTTCACCTTTTAATGATCAAATCAGAGAGCTTGCAGCAGAATATTTTATCCTTTTTCCCCCCAACCCCTGTATGGAAGCTGTATATAAATATTTTATTGTGAAATAAGTACTAAATAAAAACTTCCAAATTGCTAAATTTGCGTTGTTCGAGTCGGTGGTTCTCAAAACGGGTAAGCCTACTCCTTCGTCGGGACTACGCTGTTACTAGGATCGAGCCTAATTTCTTTCCCCCACCCCCACATTCCAGTGAATTGAAATTATGGAAGCAGGGATCAAGAGAAGCATTTTTAATGTATTTATGATAATGTGCAATGGGCGTCTGCATACCTAGAACATTTTGAGAACCACACATCTTAATTCGGCCGTTCTGATGGTATGTAACCCCCGGTGAATAGTCAAGTGATATTCTTCTTTTTTTAAAAAAAAAAAAAAATTCTAGCAATTTCTTGTGATGTGTTTTATCCTTTATGTGTGACTGTGTGTGTGAGACTTAATGTGTTGCATTCTTTCCAAATTATATATATATTTAATGGCCATCATGTTTATTGTTCAAGGGTGTTATGTTTTTGTTCAATGTACCCACTCTGCTCAGATGTTCTCTTCCCGTACCCTCCCCCTCTTCTTCACAATTAAAGAAAACAACAAAAAAAAGTTAGCTTTTGTGAAACATATCAGCCTATTTGTAAATGAATGTTTGGTTTCACCATCTCTTCCCACCTCCAAACAAGACATAGCCTTGACAGTGCCCTAGCCAATCGTATTTTAGACTTGTATACTCATTTTTTTTTTAAATGAACTTTTATTTTCTCTTCATTTTTAAATCATCTACTGAACATTGTTTTTGGAACAAACTCTCTCTCTCTCTCTCTTAGTGTACTTAAAAGTCATTTGCAGTTTGGCAAAAGGGCTAGAAGGTTGCCACAACTTTTTCCCCTCGTGCCTCTCTGAAGCTTCAAGTTCTGGACCAAGCGGGTATCAAAGCGAGCCTGCGACGGTTCTGTAGGCCCAAAGATTATCATCCTGTGCCATTTTAAGTGATGAATATATATATTATATACATGCATATATATATATGAAACCTTATTTAATCAAAAGAAAAAAAAAGTTTGCTTTCCATGCACAAATGAAAGAAAAGAGGCTAAAGCAAACCAATGGCCCATCGTCGGCCAGATTCGAGTCGTACTCATCCATCCTTTGTGTTAGTCTTGCGAGTTTTACAGCGAGCAAAATTTAACTTACATCATTGCCTTACAGCAGAAGAAATTTGCTTTGCTTCCCAACTGCTAATAAACAAAAAATAAACAAAAAAATAAAATAAAAAAAAATTAACCTGTACATATGTAAATGTTAATGTATGTGTTCTCTTGTGCTGTTCTTTGGTGGAAAGGGACAGCGATTTGTAGGCAAGTTCTACCGTCCACGCTTCACCATATCTCTGGAAAGAAAAGAAAAAAAGTTTTAAGTTCCCGGTCATCCGTCGTCGCATTGTGGTGCTAGGTCACGACCAGCATTCCGTTCTGACGTTCCTCCCTTCTGATAAAAAGAAAAATTCATTTGCTTATGTAGAAAGAAAAACAAAAGTGATTACCAAAGAGCTGGACAGCATTTAATTGACATTTTGAAATGGGCTTTTACATCGTGTTATTCAAAATAGATATAGTTATTTGTAGCAATCACTTTTTGTACTGGTCTCACTTTTTCTATACCTTATTTTCCTTCTTTAACTAAAATCTGATTATTCATACCTGCCGACATCTGTTACCGTCACAATTATTTATAATTCTTAAATGCAAAAGATACCAAATATAAGATTTAGAGGCCTAAAATATATTTGACATCTTTATTATGTGTTTTACAAATTAAAAAGTAAACTGAAAAATAGGTGACACTGTTTCCTGTTTGATTAATAAGGTAGCGATCATTTTCCACTTTGAATTAATCTGCTAATTTTAATCGATAATTAATTAGTTTTCTAATTTCAATTTTATTATGTGTAGATCTCATTGATTTATAATGCAATAAAACTTTCTTTTAAAAATACTTATATTGATCTTATCCCAAAAATTTTGATGTACTTGAAAAATAACATTTATTTTATATTCATTGCACTAGTTATACTTAATAATATAAAGCATTTTTTCAGTATTATTTATCATATTTAGTGTATTCACCAGGTCAGTTAATATTTATTTTAACGTTTAAAACGATGACTGATTCTTTCAAAAATGTTTAAATTTTTAATAGTTCATAGATGTTGGCAGATTATTTTTTATTTCAGTCTTTTGTTTATTAAGTTCACTAATTGATAAATCAATTTCTTATTTTTGAAAACTTTTTTTTTTATCAACAATCTTTAGGGAAGCAAAAATGGACCAAGTTTCCCCTTATAATTCTTGTTTTTAATAATTTTTTGTATTTTAATTAGAATTTTTATATGTGCTATTATTGAAAAGTTGTAATTCATACAGTACTCTATTCCGACGCAATCGTGAAGGAGCCTATTCCAATATCTACTGGTTTATGCATATTGTATTTGTCAAGAACTTATAATATTGCCTAAGTGGCAAGTTCCGTGTCAGTTATTTAACACTGAAACTTCTCATGCATGTAAATCACTTTTTTTTTTCAAAGGGAAAAAATATATTTTGCAGTTGCATTAATCCTTAATGATGAATTTGTCACAGTAAAAGTAATGGGCAATATATTTTAAATGATAGGTTTAGTTTTTTCCCTTATTGTAAACGTATATATTTTTATGTGAATCATCCATTGAGCAAGCTACTACATTTCTGCTATATAAAAAATTTAAAAAAAACCATAAAAGGTATTAAACTCTATTTTTTTACAAGTATGAAGCTCAGAAAATGCATTTCTCACTTTCCAAGTATTTCTAATTGAATTCAAACTGCCGATTTATCATCGTATTTATCAACTGTGACTATGCATCAGTCTTTTTTTTTATTTTGCAAAAAAAAAAGAACTTAAGCATGATTTTGAAAATCTACATAATTGTGATAATCATGAATTTTTTTATGCAAATTTCCAATTCTTGTATGTTAATTTGCAATTCTTTGAAAATGTTTCTAAAAATAGTGATGCTTATGCTTTGTGTCCTATGTTATGCAACTAATACTCATTTTAGGTAATGTATTAGCATATTGTTTTCATTACCGAGTATTTTGATTGTAAAATTAAATGAAATATTTCCTGTGCCACGTATATATTCTGTATTTATTAGCTATTTTTTGGCAGCTGTAAATATGATGTAAAATACTGCTTTGAATTAATTTATTGCTTGTTACTAGGGTAAACATATGCAATAAGGCATATGCATTAAACCAATTGAAAGCACAAAATAATTTTAAAATAACTATACGATTTTTAAAATGCATTCACTTAATATGATTTTTAACTATTTTCATATCAAGTGTAGTTTTGTTTTTTAAATAAAATTGCCATCAAATTTTTTTTAACTTATTTTATGAATAAAATTTTTAGAGCTTTGTGACTTAAATCTTTGAGCTTTTTATTTGTAATTAGGAAATTCAATATTGGTGTGGGGTTTAATGAAGGAATTTTATTTAAAATTAATTGAATATTCTTTTTCTAAAATTCCTAGGTTCATATGATTTTGATCAAAAGTTTCGATGTAAAATTATTTATTTATTTTTTAGTAAATACCCGGAATTATCATGAATGTTAAAGTGTGAAGGATTTTTTTTGTAAAGGCAATTTGATATTAAATTGATACAATTTTACGAAATCTGATATTTTATTTATAAAGAATATATTTGGTGTATTATTTCAGTTATTATATTCATTTCCCAATAGCAGGACTGTTATTGTTTTCATTTGCTAATAGGATAGGATAAATCAGCTTTTAAAATATAGTTTGTACAATTTGTGTCTGAAAAAAGTAGAAAACTATGTGTCTGACGACCCAGGACAAGAACATAGATAAAATTGGCTATTTGGAACTGTGCCGAATTTTCAATTTATTAAAAAGTGTAATATGTCAATACATTTGCATAATTGTTAGTGTGTATGTTTACCTTAGTGATACTGGTGTAGTGATTTCTTTCAAAAACTTGTCATCATAGCAGTTTGTACTAGAGCTTAACGCACATCTAACTAGTGAGTGGACAACCAGTGACCATTCCAACCACTCACTGGGCAATAACTATTTGAAATTCTTATCTTTATTAAACTGGTTTTTAATTTAATGAAATTGAATGGGTTGTTTTTATTTTCTGAGGACAAAAACGAAAAAAAAAATTTAGTGGGTCTCAAATTCACTCGAGCTTAAAAGAAAAATAAAAAGTTTACAATTTCTGAACAAAATCTTATTTCATGCCTAAAACTAAGATGAAATGCCTCTTTGATTTTGTAAACTTGATCGACTAGTCAGAATTGTGACTCTCGGATATTTCGGTATTTTTTATACTGTAATTCGTATTAACAATAATCCAGTGGATGTAGCTGCAATATACGACTCAATATTCCATTGTATTGCTCAGAATAGCATAACTCCATTTGGGACTACCTAAACATGCTTCAATGTTTGTAGTTGTGAGACGTAATATTGACAAAAGGGGTGCCAGGTCTAGTTTATTTTCCTTGCAAATAGATTCGTACACTTACTTAAAAATCCTTTAAAAAGTTTAAATTAAAAAAAAAAAAAAAAAAAACTTTTTTAAGGCCCTTAAAAAGTGCATATTTTATTATTTTTTGAATCTTTCATTGTTTTTTTGGATGCTTTGCCATTTTTAGAATGTTTAAATTTGGTACCCAATTTTTCCAGGATTTTAACATCGTAGATCCAGGATTCTTATTTTTAACATCGTAGAAAAAAAGTTGATGCTAACAATTTAGGATTCTTTTTTTTTCCTATCTGTTTCTTTTATTCTGAATTTTATAAAAGAATTTGATATAGTGTTTCTTTTATGTGTAATTCAGGGATTTGATTTGTAATTTATTTTAAGCCACTGGTTATATTTATAAATTAATTTTATTTGAAAATAACTAATTAGTTTGAATGTTCTTAAAGTAAACAATTTTTGTTCATTTCAATCCATTAAAAATCTATTCAAAAGCGTTTTTTTTTATTTATTAAATTTATTATAGCTATTTCCTTCTTGATTTTTTAACATCTATTGGCTAACTACGGAGAAATTGTTCTGATTTAATTGCAGAATATATGAAAATTTGTACGCAAAAAATAAAGGAAATTTGATATAATGTTTTTCCCTCGCCTATGCCTTAAGTTAAAAAGGTGCTCACGAAATTATATTAGGTTAAAGTCTGCTGGCATCCCTTGAACATCATTTGGCAATGTTGATTTTAATCCTATAGCGATGATCTCTTGCCTTATCTCATTTTAGGAATAGGTGTTGTGCCAAAATGCTTAATTATAAATTCATGGAGCCTTATCTCAACACTGTGCGCTAATCGAATGTGAGAATAAATTATAAGCAGTATTTTTATTCAGTTCCCTTTTTCGCTTCTCACTTTTTTGCCTTTAATGTGATAGATTCACTGGTGAACTTATGTGATAGAAATGACTCTCCCTAACTCCTTGCTTTTTATTTTTAAAGCTTACAAAGCAGTGTATATATATGTGTGACTACCATATGTGCAGAAATTCATCTCATTAGTATCCATATTCACACATGACGTAATTCCTATGAGTTTGAGACCCGTGTCTTTTTCCTAATCAAAAGGTGGATGTTCCGAAGGGCTGCTCAAAATTTTTTCACAATCTTGTAGTATTTTTTATGAAACAACTTGGCTTTCACTTAGTAATAAATAAGCAGCGTTTCCCAAATTGGGTTTTGCGGACACCTTTGAAAATTTGAATTGCTTGTTGTGATGCCATTTCAAAATGCCAAAACTTCTGTGAATTCCTCTAATTGTATTAAAATGAAATGTGTCTTGTATATAAATAGATGTTCCTTTTTCATTCATTTAGTATTTTTTAGCACTTATGTTGTTATGAATTATTCTGTGTAAAGTTGCTCACTTTAAGGAACTTTGTATATAATGCTGCAGTATTTATTTCAATGTTAATGCATCTTTCACAAAAAGCATGAAATCAATTTCATAGGGAGCAGATTTAATTTTGAAAAGGAATTAATCTTTTTTTATATATATATATTGGTTTTAAGAGTAGCTGTTTTTTGTTTAAAATATTTATTACTTTTCTTCATATTTTTTCCTTTTTCTTAAAGCTCATTACATTTGAAGGAAAGAATATGCGTAAATCATTGTTTATCGAAGTGTCAATCTAGTTTCTCTGTCACAAAATGTGGATATAAAAACTAGTGTTTTGTTTATTTAAGAAGTATCTTGTATCGAAATCTTAAATATTGTTTAGTTTAAAATTTTTCTGTTTCGTTTTATTTGCAATACCACTTGTTATAATAGTTTACTTTTCCTGGCTGTTTAAATTTACTATTGTAAATAATAATAAAAGATTAAATGCTTAAAGAAGCTGATTATCATTTCATTAGATATCTGATTTTAAAAAAAAATTAAGCAATGGAATTAAGATGTTCTTCCACTGTTATAAAAAAAAGGGGGGGAAACTAATTCCACAGGAATAGGAGTTACAAATTGTACCTGATATTAATTATTAAACATGACAACTTATTACTTAAAATTTGTTTAAGATTTATATGTAAATGGTATATGAAATCTGTTATATAAATATATATATATCATATTATTAGACCAAATGTGTTCCTTTTTCGCAACTGTGTGCTATTAAGTTCTGGCATTAGTGGGGTTTTTTTGTGCATTCCTTAATTTTTACTGTGTGTTATGACTTAATTATGGTTTTCATTGTAGATTCAATGAATATTTGGGATAAAGGGTCCGCAGGTGATAATAGTTTGAGAAACGCTGGAATTGTTTTGAATACTTACAGGTGGCTGTGTTCATAATCTCAAAGTCTTTTTTATCTGGCATTTTATTTATACTTGTTTGTTTTGCTGTGTAAATTATTTTACAGAAGAAATTATTCGTCAATCTGTGTCTTAACATTTCCAAAGAACTACCAAATTCATTTTCATTGTTTTATACTTATTAAATCATATCATTGCGTGAAAATCTTTTTTTTTCTTCTTTTTTTTTGGCATTGTATACTTTTAGTATTAATTTTGTTTTGTAATGGACGGATTATATCTAGTGCAATTACTTTATATGTATATTTATATCAATATGCTCATGAAAGATTATATAAATAATATTGTGCCAAACTAATGAATGTAAACAAAACCCATTTTGTTTCACGTTAATTATTGCCATTTTATCAAAATTCTACCCTTATTACTTAAAACGTGCATTTCTCAGCCCTTAAAGATAACCGGCAGTAGCTATCTCAACATTTTTTGAACTTCTGTTGTGCGTGAGATAGTTGCCTTTCATTGCATTTTTCTCTCTGCCGGCCTAGTCAAAAACATAAAAAGTAAGTAATCAAAGATTTCCAGAGCTTCACTCTGGTTAGTTCCGCTGAGATTTTCACACTGACCGGTGGTCGTTAGTGGGTTTAGATTTTGAAAAACAAAAATGTGCCTTCTTAATCTTTCAACAAAAATATATATATATATATATCTATATGACGCAACGAGCCCGCTTTGAGATTGGAACTAGCGAAATAACATTTTCCTTGTGGTTCTGAATATGTATTGTCCTTTTTTCTACGACAATTCAGTAGCTTTTCTGATTGTCCTAAAAAAAGAAAAATTATGATGTTGAGTTTATGCATTCTATAAATAAAATTTAAAAAAAAAAATCATAATGAGTGATTTCTTTTGGGAGAAATCAGAACCACTTGGAACGTCGAATGCAAAACTGGTCCAATAAAATCGCCATCATCGGCTTAGCCGAAATCGTCTATGCACACTTTTCCAGATGTGGAAGCACGTTTGTTAGTGCCACACTTTCCAAGCTTTGACCAAATGCATTCTGTTTTTATTTAAAATTATGACACAGTGTACGGAGACCCCAATTCTTATGCTTTTATTCACAATACATGTGCATATTGTTCCTGGATTATAAAACATGCGCTCTTGATTGTACAGGTAAAAATTTTTGTGTATTGATGTTATGTAAAACATTGTAAGCAGTAGTAATTGTAAATGAGTGTGGTTGTTTTCTGTTGCTCAGGGGTATCTAATAATATGTGATCTGAAGTTGTTTTGAGCATTATTAGATTAAATTGTTCCTTTATTATTATTATTATAAAAAAAAAAAAACTAAGTGTCGTGTAGTACTAGTTTTAGAGATGTTATTTACGGAGCATGGATCTTCTAAGTGGCCTGCTTATGTTAACCCATGTCCCTGACTAATTGCTCGGTGCAAGATTCAAATATAAATACACTGCCACCATTGCATCCCTTTTGTGGCGATTTTTCTTTCTTTTTAGTTCTTCCACCTAGCAATTACTTGGGAGTGATCTTGAATGATTGTTCTAAAGCCATTTTGTGGCTTTCATTTATGAAAAGATAGTGCAACGGTTTTATATGTATTCAATTTAATATGTATAAGGCTGGCCTTGTAATTTTTGCTCAGATATGTATAAGACAGTGATTTTCGTGTTACCACCTGTGCAAACACATTGTTCCTTTTAAATAAGATATATTCCTGCTTTATTATATATATAACAAAAAACAACAAACATAATTGACCAAGAAACCATTGTTGCCACTAAAGTCAACATACGTTTATAAGTGTGTATCATAACTTTTCTTGCTGGTTTGTATTTCAAAGTGTAAGATAACTTGTAGAATATGAAAAATAAAAAAAAGTGTGTAATGTTTTCTCTTGACAACAACATGGTTGCAAATCAGTATATATTTCATGATCTGATCGTCCCTGTGATTTGTGCACTTAGCAACCACCAGGGTACAAAAAGAAGGGCGCCTCATCTGAGAAGCATGCATCTGAATTATGAAAAAAAAGAGAAGGGAAGAGAGATCATCCCAGTTTTTTCTTCCCTCTTAAAACGAGCTCTTTTGAGAAAGAAAAGAAGAAAAAAAAATATACATAAATGATGATAAATAAAACAAATCTTTTGTGATAAGTTGGGAAGTACACATTCCTTCCTCTCTCTCTCGCGTTGCTGTGTCAAATGCACATATTTTGAGGCCTTCACAATCAATTCTTGGATATCTCTCTTCGCTTCTCACGTTGAGAATACTTATGTGATGTTAGCTGATTTTTTGTACTGTACTGGGGGTAACTTTCAGCATTAAAAAGTATTGTGTAATCTGTACACGGCTGTCCTGTTTTATTTCTTTTTTCCATTTCTTACCTTAAATTTTATGAGAACGCTTTGTTGCAAATTCTATTTTTCACCTCTAGTTAAGAGGAAAGAGATTTCGGGTAAACCAGGCTGTTTCAAATGCAGAAATTTTTTTAAAAATCAAAAAGTAAACTAAGTATTGCTGGATGACTTCACCATCCTGCAGTAATCTACATTCTGAAAACATTTGAAATTTCCTGGTTTATTTTAAATCGCTTTCCTCTAAACTTTAAAATACAGATGGAGATGAAACAGATATTGCAATGAATGATTTCTACTGTGTGACAGTGTCTTCTTAACGGCGAGTACAAATCAAAGACTTCACCTACTAAAGAATCTGATCGAACTAGGAAACTCCTACTGTGTTTAAGGTGTTAAGAGAAATTTAGCTCGTACCAAATTTTACCCTATTCTCTATTATTTTACTTTGAAGAATTCTCATCTCTGAGGAAAATTTTTTCCCTTAAAACAGTTCTTTTTAGATGCAAACAATTCAGCTAATTCTAAAACTTTTGATGCATAGGGGTCATTCTCATTTAATAGGAAATTATTTTGAAAATGGACAAAAATTAATTACAAAATTTTGATTTAATTCCCGAGTATTTTTCTCCCCTTCATTTTAATGCAAGTATTTATATGTCTACTCGCTTAGAAAAAATAGGCAGCCTTTTCTGTATTATCGAGATGGAAGCAATTTGTTAGGGTTTCTTGAATGGCTTAATTCGCAAGCAAAGGTGGAAGCGACGTTCAAACCTGCTAACTCTCGGTTTTTTTTTTTTTTAGTAATTGGTGTGAGCAGAATTGTGTATACCCTTTCTTTGAAAACTCTTTCCTTCAGATCAGCGATTTCGTAGTTGGAGTGCATTTGGTTATCATTAATTCCTTTTTGGTAACCTTATTGAAATTTTAGTTAAACAAAAAAAAAGTGTAAGGCATTGTTTTTAACCAAACTTATTTAGATTATTCCTTTTTTTTAAATATCTTAATTCATGTTAAAATATCTTAATTAGATTAATAGTTGTATTGTACTCTTTTCAAACCCCAAGAATTTTTGTTAAGTTTTTCAATGTTTGTACAAGTTTTACTATTGAGTAAAAAAAAACTCGTTTCTTGATATTCTAGAAACTTATTTTTTGTACTTAGCAGTAAAAAGACTTTTCAGGATTTTTTTCGTTATCGATACAAAATTGTGTAAAGTCAATAGCAAGGAAAGTAATGCCCACAGTTGTGTAGGCCAAGTTACTCAAAGTGATATGGGACATGTGAGACAATAGTTGATCGCGGGAAAAAGAAAAAAATCCTCAATTTTGTTCTTTGTCTAAAACTGACTTCGGAGAATTATTTGGCTTCGAAGGCAAACCAGATGACTTTTTAAAAAAAACTGAATTTCTCATTTCGTTTTAAATTAAAACATAAATTTATCTTGTCATTTTTACGGGTAAAAAAGTTAATTAAATTTATCGGTATTTTATTGTGTAGATTATATCAAGCTATGCTGTGTTCACAAAAAGTCAAAACTTTTTTGGAGGTTGATAGGTATGAATGTTGCTTGGATAGACTCTTAGAGGCTAGCTTCTTCTGTCTGGAAGAGTGATTTCAATACTTGCATCACATTGGCTTTAGAAGAAGTCCATGACAGTAGTTTCATGTTATTATTTTCAGCGTACAAAGAAGAAAAAAAAAGTCCTAATTGAAAATTATCGTAAAAGATTTGGATAATGACTATAAGATGTCACTTATAAGATTACACATTTGCAGGGCCGTCTTAATAACATGCAAGGGGCACAGAAATGTTAAAATATGTCATACTGTATAAAATCGAACTAAAAAATTACATATACATAAAGTAAAGCTTTTTTAAGAAATGCAAAAATATTTACAATTTTAAAATGCATAATTTTAAAAAAAAAAATTTGAAATGGTGACCAGTTGTAATCTTCGAATAATAAGATAACTTTGAAAACCATAGAAGCTAATTAAATTTTTTAAAAAAGTATAACAAATGAAAAAATCAAAAGGTATGAATCACTTCGTCAAACTTAGCACTTATTAAAATTATCTTTCAATGCACATAACCAGTTTAAAAGTTGTCCTATAGGTGCTGTATAATTCTTAACTCTTTCAATTATTACTTTATTTAAATCCTAAACAGAGTAGGTGGTGGCCAAGCATTTTTCGAGACATTATGACTTAAAACATTAATTTATTTTGCAGCGATATTTTTTTTCAGGAAAGCAATGATTATGCCGGTAGTGCATCGAGTACCCAAAAACTGATCGCAATGTAGACAAATAAATATCGGGTGCCATTTTTAAATTTTCCTGTTGGTAAGTTATTCAAATTATTGGTTTTCGTTATGATAATCAATCACTATTTGTAGAAGGAAAATGCACTTTTAATACAATAGAATATATAAGGCAATATTGTTTATCAGCAGTTTTAGTTTTTTTCAATACAATTTATGAAAGATTCTGAGGAGGGCCCCTAGGTACTGCCTCATTGTGCCCATGCGTGAAGACGATACTGCACATTTGCGAGTGCAAATGGTAATAACTTTTTATGTGCTTTCTTTGTTATCGTAAATCCGGCACTACGTATTTCCACACGATTTTGAAAATTCCAATTTTTTTTTTTAACACGACATTCCAATCGTGCATGTAAATGTGCGCTTCATTGGTGCCGATTTCATCGCAAATCTAAGAATATTTTTTTTTATCGCTCTTTCAACACTCGTTGCCACGCTTTTCCACGGGCATAGCTGCCAACATAAATAGGGAAAAAAATTCAGTAGATTTTATGAAATAATATTCATTTCATAACGATTGTTGCATAATGTTCTTAATATTTTATACATAGAGAATTTTAGGATCTGCAATATTTTCCACTTATGATTGACATAAAATATAACTGAAATGTTAAGTATTATGTTTACTCATAGTTTCGAATATGCATTTAATTCACCAAAGATAGTTATAAGATTTTTTTAAAATTAATTTAAAAAGAGAATTCTGAATAAAAATAAACTAAACATATTAGAACAAAAAAAATTTTTCAACTGATTTCTTTAGATTAGGTTCGCTTCATTATATATTAGTAATTCTTATTTAAATATTTTAGCAAGCGAATAATAATCTGTACAAAACCAGGAGAATTTTAATTAAACTAGTAGAAAATGGCCAAATACAGTAGAGTTGGCAGCTATACACGGGTTTAGAATCAGGCATTTTAATCATCACTTTCATCGTAAATCCATTGCAACTATTTATTTTCACGTATTTTTTATTTTTATATCACGACATTTTTAATACACTATTAGTACAAAACACAAAATTTGAAAGTGGGTTTTTAAACTGTTTTTACCTTGTGAATATATACATACATTATTTTGTTGTTTAACTTAATTATTATTATTTTACTCTCTTTAACCATGATTTATATATAAAGCTTAACAGTTTGCTGGACTGTCAATATATACATAAAAAAAACTTTAAGTATGTATGCAATACATCAATGTTTTTTATTTATTTATTTTTAAGTTCTCTGTGCAAAACAGTTTCACACACTTTATGATTTGAACTGATAGGTAGTTTCAGAGCTTCTGTTCTTTTCCAACACTGAAACCTGATAATTATAGATGATATTTTGAAAATAAAAGCAAGATATAATTTAATAGTTAATAAAAATGAAAGGAGCGAGAAAGTAAAGAATGCAAGAATAACAGAAAAATGAAATTTATTTCAAATTGTAAGTGCTAAAAACCAAACATAAAATCTAAACATTTGTACATCATTTAATCAATCAGAATCTGATATTTGATACACAATCCCTCTTCTGCCACCACCCTGAGTCTTAGGGGCGGCAACTTTACGACGTTTCGGTTGTACTATTTCTTCGTCATCAGATAAGTCTATTTCCTGGAAACCATTATTATTACCTGTATTAAGAAAACTACTTAAATTAGTCTGCCTAGTTTTGCGTTTATTTGGAGTTTCCTGTTTAGCAGCACGGGAAGTAGCTCTTCTGGATGGAGCTGCCACCACACTATCATTGTTGGATGCAGCACCTCTTCCTCCTCTACCCCTACCACGTCCTCTTCCCCTACCTCTTGTTTTGGCCGCAGGGATTTCAACAGTTGTATTATTAAAGTGGTTATCATCCTCGAGGTCACTACCAGAGCTACGGCGAGAGGACCTCGGTTTCGTCTTGAGGATGGCTCGAAAGTCTACCACTTCTGCCTGAACATTCCTCTGCCTCTCTTCTCTGAATTTCGATATTTCGTCGTCAATCAAAGTGTGGTCTTCTACCTTGTCCTCTAAGTGACCTTGAGTTTTCTTCACTTGGTGATCAACTAATGATAAGATGGCCTCCTTTACTTCCTTATCTACAAATTCCTGAACTGCGCTGCTGATTCCAACTTCGGATAAAACTTGCAGCCTCTTGTTTTCGTCCGTTTGCTCAAAGTATTTTTTTACCAGGTCCTCCACTCGCTGCTTGTCGAAACCTTCTTGCTTCAATATTGTTTTTAGCATTTCATTGTCGATTTCGGTCGCTTTCAGTTTCTCGAACTTTTTGCGGCTGAAAAGAATGATGTCTTTGGTGTTGGCAACTTTTGATACATAGGAATGACCAAACCTCTGTACACTAAAAGTATCAAAGGTTGGTGGATAAAACACTCGCAAGCGAATTAATGGTAACTTAGGTTGCTTCGGATGACCTGAAATAAAGTTATAAAAAAAATCTATAAATTACTGATTTGTGTAAAAAAATAACATTTACTGATTCTTTTAATAAATAAAATGTTTACACTTTATACAGTCAAACCTCGATTCTCACATCTTTTGTTCCCCTCCCACACACAAATGTTTTTCTTATAATGAAAAAAATACCAGTTTTGATAATTTTTGAAAATATCTACTTTCCACCTTTATTGTTCAGAAATTTTATCAACATTTTTATTGCAGAATATGCTTTAAATAAATATACAGGATATCTGCTAAATCTAAAGTTTTTAAATCAATGACCTTCCATGACTTCTACCAAACACTTTCCATGACTTAAAGCAGGTCAATACTTTATCACTCAAAACAGTAAAGAAAAAGATAATAATAAGTGCGAGTTTCTTCCTGAAGTGTGATCTTTTTAAATCACACAAATGCAGATCGTGATGAGGGATTCTTCAATCTCACGAATGTGGATCACGATGCGTGATTTTCAAATCGCACAAATATGGATAGCAATGTGTATTTTTTAAATCACGTGAATACAAATTGTGATGTGTTCGCACAAATACGGATCACGATGTTTGATTTTAAAACCACACAAATGCAGATCGTAATGAGGGAATTTTAAATCATGCCAATTCAGATCATGATGTGCTATTTTTAAATAATGTAAATACAAATCGCGATGCAGGATTTTTAAATCGCCGGACAGGATTAAGGGCTCCAATACCTCAAATCTATGACGAACTGGGAGTTTCCATGACTTTTTAGCATTTATCATTGAAAATCATGACTTTCCATGACAAATTTTGATCAAGGTCGAAGTCAATGAATTTCCATGATTTTCAATGACTTTCCAGGTGCGCGGATAGCCTAAATGTACGATGTGAAGCTCTGTCATCTTTTTAAAATGACTTAAATAGACATAATTTTCCATCCTGCCTGCATTCCTAAACATTCGACCCTGGTTGTTAGCATCTCAAGCCTAGCAGGATCAGGCAGTTGAAGAAGAAGAAGAAAAAAAAATCTCTCCCCTTCTGTTTTCAGTTTGAATGAATCTCAAAAAAGGAGTCCTCTTCTTGAGTTACAACTTAGAGCGCTTTTAAATAATCTGTAGAAGAAAGATACAACCTTGTGTTTGACTCCCAAATATCAAGAAGCATTCAAAATTTTTAAAAATGCCTTAATTTGTAAACCTGTTTTGAAAATATTTAATCCTAAATTACAATGTCATATTTTTGTTGAAGCAAGTCAAAGCAGTGTTAAGACAATTTTGAAACAGCCAGATGTTTCAGGTGTCTTACATCTGATAGCATTCCATTCTCGTTCTTTAAGAGACTATGAAAACAATTATACTATCACAGAATTGGAATGCCTTCTATTCTTTGTTGATGCATAAACAAATTTTATCATTATTTATTTGGCAATAAATTCACTATACATACTGACCATGCAGCATTATTTTGACTAAAAAAAAGTAAAAAGTCTAAAAGGTCGCCGGGTCTTTACAATTAAGTATGTACATATGAATATGATACAAAATACACAAAGGGTTTCCTCACTTTGAAGTTCACGTGTTATCTCAGGTCATTCCTGACAATATTGGACACAATAATAGTAATAATAATATTGAAATAAAAAATGTAAACCATTTTTCACATCTTTTGCAATTTGCAAAGCCCAACAAAATGATAAAACTGGAAGTTTTATTGAAATTAATAGCGTTTTTTGTTTTTGCAAAAAGCGTTTACTAAAATGGTTGTCCCATTTTCTTTACGACATAAATTGTTTGAAATTACTCAGGAAAAATTCGGTAATTAAACAAACAAATAATTTACTTACTCTCGTTTATGATTCGGAAAATATTACTTTGCATATTACAAATTTTTTACTTTTCATGTTAATTGGGCTTCTATCATAGGGAAAGTATTGCAAATAGATGACTTTTTTATAAATTTTTAGATGGAACTGAAATTTTTCGGGAAGGGGGACGTAACATAAAAAGCTTCAAGTATCTTTTGTGTTATTTCTTTATTGCGTTATTTCTCATCTTTCTGTGTTATTTCTTTATCTAAATTCTCCTTCTTAAATTCTTCCCTTTCTCACAATTAATTATTCATTTCCTCTTTTCTTATTCTAATTTTGGATTCAGTATGTATAAATTAAAATTTTTGATTCTTCCCTTTAATTTAACTGCGAGAAAGACCTTAATTCCCTCAACTTTTTAATGGACCAATTAAAATTATTAATGTTTTACATTTTCCCCGAGATCTAAAACAATCGAGAGAGAAACTCGTGATACTTTCTCAAGGATAAAAACTCAAGCACACAGATTTTTGAGCATGAATCAGGCTCCTCCAATGATTGAATTTGCTTTTAATAGATGATGTGCAGCTCTGTCATCTCCTTAAAATGACTTAAACATCATTTTCCATCCAACTGTTTGCCTGCGTACCTGAACATTCGACCATGACTGCTAGCATCTCAAACATATATATATATATATATATATGAAACATAAAAAGCTTCTATTAATCTTTTTATGTTAGTTTCTTCGTTATAAAACAACTCCTAATTTATTACTAATTATTTATTCAAATCGAACTGCTTTCTCACACCTTTAAAAGCTACATTCTGTTTCTAAATCTATTTTTGGCACAAGTATGCATAAATTTAAATAAAGACATTTTTCCCTTTAAGCTTCGTGGGAATCAATCAACCTAGTTCATAAACCAATAGTAATTTCTGAGATTTCCCTAAATAGAGACATTATCGGATTTTTGCAAGATTTTCCCTACCAGAAAGACTGATCGTGAATGAAGTTAACAACACTTTTCATTCTCCACTCAACAAAGAATGACTTAATAAAATTTACTGTGCTTTCATTAAAATCCTGTGTCTGTTTTCTTGCTCGGTCCGACTGCATCATTTTACAAGCCGATGAGGATTATAAGAACTGATGAAACAGGCGCAGGATAAATGCTTCTTCAAAATATAATTCAAAAATTAAAATAAAAATACAATTAGCTGAATCATGAAATTGATGCTGAATTGACATTCATGTCTGAATGTTGAATTGACATTGTTAGTGAAGAAACAGATATTATTCTTTTGAATCCTGACTAAAGGAATCCGATGCCAAAAAAATTAAAAGAAGAGATTCTTGGGACTTTCCTCTTTCATGTATCCAGCGGAGTTGTCTTATTTGTGATTTGATTCCCGCCTACCTAAATGCTAAAAGTGCTGTGTAGTGGTTTCAGAGTCGCTGAGTCCCTACTTGCTTACTGCCTCATTGAGAGCTGATGGAGGTCCAGCCTGTGATTGACTTGTTTTGTTAGCGGTGGTTTCCTTCAACGAAAGATGATTTGTGAAAGAGTGCAAAAATCCGAAAATGTCTCTATTTAGGGAAAAGAGGGAAATCTTAGAAATTACTTTTGGTTTATGAACTTGCTCGAGTGATTCCCACGAAGCTCAAAGGGAAAAAAAGTCTTTATTTAAATTTTATCTTATTTGTGATTTGATTCCCGCCTACCTAAATGCTAAAAGTGCTGTGTAGTGGTTTCGGAGTCGCTGAGTCCCTACTCAGGGCTGAAAGCCCACATATATCAAGACGGAAAAGTGTATAAACTGGTAAAAAATAAATTTCATTTTTTAATTTTTTTTCGGGAATAATAAAAATATATAACTACCAACTGTTTTTAACGCATACAATTTTTATATTGAATTGCTTCTTCGCCGAGATAAAATTAATTACAGTGAATTGTTTATTATTAAGAAAAGATTAACTCCTCCTGAATATTATCTAATATTGAAATAGTTGTCCTACCAGTATTTTCTCTTTTCCGTCTCGCTTTCAGGCCTGTCCCTACTTGCTTACTGCCTGTCGGTCTAATTGAGGGATGATGGAGGTCCAGCCTCTGATCGACTTGTTTCGTTAGCGGTGGTTTCCTTCAACAGAAGATGATTTGTGAAAGAGTGCAAAACCAAAAATGTCATCTGAAGCAGTGGCTTCGCGTGCGCAAATGTTTATGATGGTAAATACTATTCGCGTGTTTCATCAAAAAAGTGAATATGCGAAATAATTAATTCATAGTGAACAATTTTCAGCCGTGTCTCTATGGCAGTTGAAAGCTAAAAAGTTAATGATTTGAAAATAATTCACCTGTGAACAATTTCACATAAAATAGTAATTGGTGTTTAAATGATTATAATTTTTGAATTTTTTTTTCATTCTTGATATTTCATTTGAAATGCTTAATTTTTATTTATTGATCTTATTCTCATTGTTTATTTTTGTATTTTCAAAAACTTATTTACTGTTATTGAAATTTATTTCTTCTTTGAGGAATTTCATTTTAATAAATTGATTTAATATGACTAGCATAAAAATGTTATAGGATATTTAGTTTCGTTTTAATTATATTATGTGTTATGAAATATGACCAATTGAATATTTTTGTAAACTTTAAATTTTGCTTTAGTATTTATCGTAAGGTAGCGATAAATGAGCAACTATGAGATTTAAGTTACTTCTAAATGCAATATTTAATTAATGAAATTTATTTCGGTTATTTGAATGCCCTTACGGAGTGGCAAAAATTTTAAAAATTTTATATCGATGAAAATGCTAAAAGCAATACAGATAATTCTGAAAATGAATTAAATGATAATTTATAAAAATTAAGTATCGATCAAAACGTACAGGATAAACCAGACATACTAGTCTTTGAGCCTGACATTGGTGTTCAATTCACATCCTGGCTGAAACATTTTGAAAATCTAACTCCAGATGCTAAATTAAATGACGAATGGAAAGTTAGAAATTTTCAAAAATTCATTAAAGGTTCAGCTTTGAAATTGTATATTAATAACTGCCTTAATTGTAATACATATCAGGAAATAGTTTAAATTTATCAAGAACATTATTTTTTATCTCCCTTTGGCTTTAACGATTTTCAAAATTTAAAATTTTCTGGCCAAGCTAAAGACCTAA